ATCACTCTGACGCAGGGAACTATTTGAAACGCTAGTCATCTTTATCTTATGTTGTTTTGTCACTTTTGTTATGTTGCAACTGTTGAAATTATTACTAACCTGTGTAACAAAATACCAGTGGTGTCACCTAGTGTGTTTCTTGACTAACTAACTTTATTTCGATATTGAATTGAATTTCAATAGCAACTATACATAATGTGTGTGTTAAAAGCATTAAAAAAAGTGTGTTACAACAAATAAACAGTTTATCTATCTATCTCACGCCTCTTCCCGATTGGTAGGGAGAGGTCATTTCCAACCGCCGCTCGTTCGCTTAGGCTGGGCACTGTTGGAGCGTGTCAGTCTGCTGCGGTGACTCACGTGCCAAGACTGCAGTGTTAACTGACAACCATCTACAGGCTCTCGGCCTATACGGTGGAGGAATGGCCCGAAGCACCCATGGCCCGGTAGAACCTGGGTCGCCCTTTGTGTGAGGCGATCATGCCGTCGCACCCACTCCTCTAATACAGGCAGAACTGCCTCTATGGTGCGACGTAAAATTTGGCTGACGGCCAGGCGTACCCTTCAGCACTCTAGGGCCTAGATCCTCAAGCCTCTACCTTTTGGTTTCCACCTCTCGTGGTGCACGTACACGTACATTTCCCCTTGGGACCTATGGTCACCTCGCAACTGGCGTCTATTCTCGGTTGTCGACACTAGCTTTGTCGCCACTGAGGATAAATGGCATAAATAATATCGATTGTCACCAGTGGTGACACATACTTTCCCAGTTGTAGCTACAGGCTTTCTCACAACTTATGACAAATTAGAAAAATACATCCCAATTATGCCTAGTGGGGACGTACACAAATATTGACACAAATGTCATCGTGCATGACATACGTAAAGTAAAAGTCAAGTAAGACCAGATGAATACAAATATTATTAATTTTATTAATAATTCGTACGCGTGGACCTCGTTTTACTCCTTAGTTCGTAAAATCTGTTGTTTGATATCATGTTGATAGATGGCGTTTCACGGCTTCCCCCGCATGAATATTTACGAACGTCAAAAACAGTAGTTTGTCCAGCGCTGTAGATTTTAACCAATGACGATAGATTGCGCTTTTTAGACACGTCTTATTTATTTCGTTCGTTTCAGCCAAATGACGTCCACTGCTGGACAAAGGCCTCCCCCAAGGTTTTCCACAATTAACGGTCCTGTGCTGCCCGCATCCAGGCTATTGTTATTTATTTATTGAAATTTATTTGTCACNAAATCGTGTTTCCATCCGTTAATAGCCCTAGAAAATATCCTCAACTATGCCCAATAAAAATCTTAGAATTTAATTTTACTGTTTAGTACCTCAAAAATGAAAAATGAAAACCTCATTTTCGCCATTTTCTCTGCTACCCGGCCTTAACTCAGTGAGTACCTGATGTATGGGATCGGCACAGGAGGGGTGACATTGACATATTATTATCACAGTAGATAAATCAAACAGTACGGAAGCTTCATACAAACGCTCGAAATCAGACTCACGCACACAGACGCACGCTTTACACGAGCTCTAAGCGAACCTCGCAGTCCATCCGTCGCGAGTGTCGCGCGCGATGTTTTTAATAGTAATTTTATTGCATGCACTGTCCGCTGTATTTTTAAAAACATGCCACGAGTGTATTGCATAGTATACGGCTGCTTGAACTCGGCGTCTTCAAAACCAGAACTTTCATTTTTTAAACTTCGTAATAATTCTGAATTGTAAAAATGATTAAATATTACTTTTTAAATAAAGTGCTTACATCTGATTTAGTAATAGTTCTTTTTAAATTACGTAATTACGCTTTTTAACAATTTATGTGTTCTATTTGATAAAGTAATTTGCTCCGCGCGCTTTTGTACTAAGTGGTGAACTGTATTTAAAATGAGGCAATAGTTATGTGAAAGTAAGTATCCGGTATTTTATTTATGAGAATAGAATATCTTCTACCGGCCTCTAATAGTACTTAATCAATTTATTCGATTATGTATTCGATTATGTATTCGATCATTATAGAACCTAATTAACGTTTTATTTTTTTGTTAACTACTTAGTCAATTAATTTATTCCATTAGGTATTTGATAATTAAAAAACCTAAATAAACGTTTTAATGAAGAAGTAAGTCAGAACCTTATTAATTTTATAAAGATTAAGAGTGCCAACCCTAACACTCCGTTGAAGTGTAGGTATTTAACTCGCCGAAAGGGCTAAGTTTCCGTACTGCTTTAGCTCATATATCTACTGTGTTATTATGTCGATACAGAGCTTACAAATCTGAAGGACATTTGAAGTTTTACTGACGTTTCCACGCTCCCATATCTCAGGCACTAACTTAGTTAAGCACTAATAGACCTTAAAGTGCTATTATCTTACTTCCAACGCGTGTACGTTTGAAGCCTGAATTGCTAAATCATTGTTTCAGCCGCAGCAGTCCACAACTGGACATTAACCTCCCCATGTAGCGCCAACATTTAAGCCCGAGTAAAAAATCTCATTTATTTGTATAAAAATATGTTTTGTATCTTTTTCGAATGTCATTAGCCAAGTAATTTGTGCAACTTTATGGGTTTTAAGTATCTAATGGTAGTTGGACAATGGAATTGTTATGACGAGGAAACACGGCGTTCGCTTCCATAAAAATGTTTTAACTCATAATGAGCTACAAGTATCATAATGTAAAAATAGATCGGCATAGAATTCATTAATAAATATTATTACTATGGTGTATCTACTTACCAGAATCATTATGCGCAACAATATCATTTTCATTCTTCGTTTTAATGAGTTGCATAAACTGGCAAACACTGCAGACGTCATCTTTAATGAATGGTTGTTGAATTTAAAGTTTTATGCAACTTTGAACGTTCTAGGAGTTCATTCAAGTCCTGCGGTCTGTTTTCACATATTTTCTAAATCGTGACGTCACACTTTAAGTTCTAAGGAATTGTGGGTAGGCGTAACTACGCATTAGTGGGTGTACAATTTGTGCGCGTGAATGCCCATCGTCCCTTGTAAATATCTAATAAGCAATTCGGGATTATTACCTCTATATGTCATGGGCTGGATTAGTTCACCAATCTCTGGTAATTAATGACGTTGTCAGGACTGGATGACATTAAGTAAAGTTAATAGGTCAAAATAATACTGAGAATGCTAGAGAACGTGAAGAGAAAAAATGCTAAGAATGCTCCTTTGCAAACTTATGAAGTTAATCATCTGAAGTTTTCTCAGAATCTGATGTTTTTGCAAGCTTGAGATGGGCTACTTTTGTTAGCAGACTGTAGATTGTAATAGGTATTTTTTTCACTTTGAAAGTAGACTATAGTAAATAATACCTAGATATTAAGGTGTTCATAATGTTATCAGGTAAACATTTCTATGAAATATTAAACATTAAAGTAGTCACAGTAAGCCATAAGATTTGAACCTACAACCTGTAGAAGAAATACCACGTGGTTGTCAACTGTGATCGGTTTCTACATATCGATATGCAGTAGGTAACTGTGTAATGTGTCTAAAGTTCGTCTTTAACTCTGTAATATGTAACTTTCTTTTCATTAAGTACTTAATTAAAGGTAACAAAAATCTAAACCATTGTTTATGTTGACTAACGTGACATATTAATGAATAGGATGATTCATGTCGTGTATCACAACTGGATATTGCATTTATACAATGAACGCCTTATAACAAAACCACCATAAATATAATTGTGGTTTTGTGTATGCTTTGTTGGTTTCAAATTAATTGACGGTCACCTTCTTAAGAATTATTTTGCCTATCCGTCAAGGATCTAAGCTAATTTCAGAAACATTTCAATTAGATATTCAGGTTTGCATTTAATAGTAGGCTCTACTTTTTGTGTAAAGAGACAAAATAGATCTGAGAGGCTTTGAATCTTCCATTCGGCTACCTAACATAATAATTGCATTCGTTAAAAAATGCATTGAAAGTGTGTTCCAAAAATCTTTGTCCCCATTTGTTTCATTTAGTCAGTGATTAGGTGTGTGTGAACAGAATAGAGAATTTACTTGTGAGATTATTTTCCTTGTAACTAATACCTAGTCATTTCCTCATCATCGGCTATAGCAACGATACAACTAACATTAATGTGTTTTATGCAAACTTTTCGCATAAAGAGCCTATTGAAACAACTTAGTTTGGTTCGGGTATACGGGGTGGAAACGATAAGTGATCTCACTCGATTATTTCTAAACTATACAATATATCCAAAAATTGGTTACTGATCCTGAAAGTGCTTCACGAGCTTTATCATAGGTTACAAAATAAACTGGATCTATCCGAAAATTTAATGTTTCCAGCTTCGCCCAGCTCAGCTCGTGAAGCACTTTCAGGATCAGTAACCAGTTTTTCGATATCTTGTATAGTTTAGAAATCATCAAGTGAGATCACTTACCGTTTCCACCCTGTATAGTTATAGAGTTGCCTTAAATGAAATAAAATAATAAAATAAATGAAATAAAACTCGTCAGCATTGTAATATGTATCATTACTTCCACAAATATTTGCGATTATTAATTAAAGACACTTAGGCTAGATACATTCAAACGACAATATTACAGAATCATTAATGAATACACTCGCATAACAATTGAAATGACTTACCGATTAAACAGTTTGCGTGTATGTACATGATTATTATAAAGTTAATTCATTATCTATCTATAAAAATCAGACAGTAATGCAAAGTTAATAAGTACGAATTGGTAATATTAATACCTACTTAGGTTTTCATTATACGAAAAAGTACTGATTATTTGTATTATAGAGTAAACCATAGAAGTGTGGTGTAAAAATAATGTTAGTCATTGATCTGAAGTCTGCTTAATATAATTAGTTTTATGTCTTTATTTCCTCCAATATAATTTTAATTAAAGTAATTATTTTTTATTTTATTTTACGATTTCAATCTTATCGAATTTATTTGTTAATTTTTTTTGTATTTAATAATAGCCTTTCTTGCCGTTGATATTAATTTGACTACAACCATAATCATATAGCTTTTATCTATGTAAGTATTTTAAATACATATACGTTTATTATCTACTAGGTACTTCTCAGGTAAGTACTGACCATGAGTCAATTAAATTGTGATGTTATTTAAAGAGCCTTTGTTTTTTACGTAGAGTTTTATTACCTGAAAGGTGGAGATGAAAGGTAATCTTTCACGCATAATTAAACATTCAAAGGCTCTACATTGCTTATGATGTTCTACACCGAATTGGTAGCAGGGCAAGTTTTGTTGTTATAATAATGGAAGAAAATAAAATGTTGAGTCAAAAGTTTTATTTAATCAATCTCATCGCCAGTACCGGGAGTTTAAACAATCGGTTGTACCACTAACAAAATTCTTGTAACGCTAACATGAGATGCGGTAGGGATTCGACGTCGTAAATGCTAATATACTTTTTCAGGTCTGCGTTGCGAATGTTGACTTGTGGTGGTCTGACGCCGGCCTCGGGCTCGAAGTGCTGCGTGGGGCGTTTGGCGTAGTGGTGCGACTGGTCGCTTGCGATTAGTCGCGAGGGGGTGCGCCCGGCTCGTCTACCGCCCAAGGCCGGTCCACAGCAGGCCCGGATCGTGGTGGTTCGCCCCGGGATAAGTCCCGTCCGCCTCCACGAACGATCTGCGGTTGTAAGATCTACGTACAACAATATTTTAGACTGAATTTTTGTACAGAATCTCTAGAAGTATGTGCCCAGCAGATCAATCTGCCAAGAGTTTCCTAAAATATTAATTTGAGCCTTAGGTCTTCATTTAAAGTTAGAAAAGTCAGAAAAGGTGTCATTTAGTAGCAGGTTGATGTGCTGGTGCTATAATTAGTATGTTAAGTTCATAAATGAGCAAGAAATTGAAAAAAGAAAATCAATAATCAGGCACAGAACCAATGAAAAATGACATTGCCTTTAAAGAAATCAACTAGGAATGCTATTCCTACATTAATAGCGTGGAGAGATAAGTCCAGTGTCATGACAGATCACTCGAGCCTACAGTCTAATTTTTTAGAAATCAGCAGAAATGTCATCAAATATGGCCAACTGACATAAAAATATTTCTAGTCTGTGAACTAGTGATGCGACAAAACCTCTCGTTAATCGCGAAGTGAAATGTTGTAGTACTTGCGTATCATCGCCGGGTGATCGTCAAAATACTAAAAATATGCAACAAAGTCGCAACATTGAAAATGTGAACTGATTATGAAATTTTCGAGAACAGGAAACAAACTCTGCACAGATGTAATCAAAAAGCACACTGGACAGTAAAACAATCAATGATATCCGTAAAGTTATTAAACTTCTGTTGCTTGCTGTTGCTTGCTGCGTGATTGGTGGATTTTGACATATCTGTCAATGTCATGTCAAAAATAACCAATCATGCAGCATTTGGACCTCGCGTCTACGTATTGCCATCTGGCGGATTTTTCAATCGCGAAAACCCTCATTGAAAGAAGTTTTTTATTTTCTTAAAAATAAACAATGGAACAATACGTAAGCATAATTGCATAAAAAAGTAAAATAATTTCGTTTAAATAAAACCGACTAAAAATTAAACTGACTCCGAAAAAGTAAACACTAAAAGTAGAAAAATAAATTTACGTTATCTCCAATATTGTCGAAGTTATCGCTGGAAAACTAAACAAAGTATCGTATATTTTTTATTTAAAATTAATCAGTAATCGGAATAAGTGAATACTTAAAATAATATCGATTAAATTTACAGATTATTGTCTATGACTCACAGGTTACGGCACTGATGTGTCAGAGACAAGTCATAGACAATATGGAGATAACACATGATTTTAAACGTCAAGTCAATTTGAGAATGTCACAAATTTTCATTGTCCACGTATTTTGCTAAAATAATTTGTTTCAAAGATTGATTTCAAACTCGTATAAACGTGAAAATAAAGTTGGTTTCATGGGCTTGTTAAATAGTGTGTATGATATTATGAACACGTAAGTGATTATGGTGTAATTGTGTATGAAAGTGTTTGTTTACATCTCTGCTGGATTCTAAAAAATCAAGGTATAACTTATTTGCATTAAAACGTTTTTATAGAGGCTAAGGCTTTTTATACATTGAATGTGATAAATAATATAATAACTTAAGTTAGACATGACCAAGACAATGTAATAAAATTATTATGTGCGTCAGTTTTCTTTTGTCTGTAAGTAAATCATGTTTAGATGGTGACACATTTAAAACTTTTTAATAGTTGTTTAGACAGTGTCTACACAAAGTCCAGCTTTTTGTTAAAATTACGTCATTGTATGACTAAAATAAATATGACAAATTGTTTGGTGTGCAATAAGGAAAGATAACGATTAGTTTATTGTCTTTGACAAGCGACGCCGTAACGAAATCAAGTGTGAAAATACAAAACCGCTAATTTAATGTATTTTTTATGTATTTTAGAATTTAGATAAAATAAATAGAAATAATATCGTCAAAGATCTCAAGTTTCTAGTTATTTGAAAAAAATATTGAAATAAATCTTAGATAAATCACACGATTTGTTTGTTAAAAATCTTGGTAGTTAGATAAGTTTGAGAAAAATATAATAGATATTTTTGGAGTTTCACGTACTTATCACAAAATTGCCTAGTTTCCACAGTTTAGTAAACAAACTTTGCTGATAAATGTGTGTTGGTGTATTCAAAGTTTTTAACAATACGTTTACACGTGCGTCAGAGACAATTTTAGATACGAGATATTTTTTAGAATATTAACTAAACTTTCATGTAGGTATTTAAGAGTCAAGCGAGTAATTCCGTCCAATACTTACAATGATGACCTTTTGCAAGTTTTTATTTCTTTAACAATTGAAAATAATTAGGTATGTCTGAAATTTCAATAAGCTAGACTACAAAAGAAGACTTAAAATAAAGTCACTAGAATTCTAGACAGCAAATCTTACTAAGATTACGATTATACAAAGCTTAGTACGAGGGGCACTGTAATTTTTGCAATATAGATTACTAATATTCTTCATAAAAAACACAAGCAGGAACGCAAAGAAAAACAGTGCACAATGAAAATCGTGATCGTCTTCAATATTTTCTACACTATAGCAAATAGGTACATTTGTCTAGACACACAGGTCACAGGAAGACAAGTGGACCATCATGACCTTCAAATAATCCTGAAGACAATACCCTCGCATGATTGGAAAACTCCGTGACAGGGGACGAAGTGAGGACCGAGGTAGAAGAGGAAGCTCCCTTTTTAACACCTACTTAAACGGGTACTGGTATTTAATTTGACAACGACAAGTAAATTGTTTTTGAAATGGATCTGTTGGGAAAATAACGCCAATTTTGTACTTTAGCAGCCACTTACGGAAACAGTTAATTTTAAAAGTAAACAACACAGAGGCAATATAATTAAAATGAGTGTGTATGGATCTAAATTGCTAAATGGTATTGGATCTGAGATTTTAGGATAAACCAATAATAACTTATAAATATTCGTTTGAAAACAAATTTAGGTATTTTCGTGTTTCGAAGGAAAATGTTAAGTTCTCCGACACCAGAGTTTTGACAGTTATTACAAATATTCATACATAGTGTGTAAATAGAGAAGTAGATGGGGCAAGATAGCTCAAGAAGCATGAACAAATGAAAAAAGGTTGAAGGAGTTTAGGGGACCTGCTCCGTAAAATAGTTTGGAATTATCAACCTTATAGCAAGTATGAGAATGCATTTTTTTGCAGAGCAGTTCCCCAAATAAAGAGTTAGTATATGCCCACCTAATGTTGCCAGTGGGCCTCAGTGGTCGCAGTGCGTGCAGGCGCCTCATCCCGGTGCCGCCACCGCCGCCACCTGAACAAAACCACCATTGTAAATGAGAGAAACTACCTAACCAAAGAGTGACCAGAGAAAAGTGGGGAAAAATATGGAAGTATTTTTAATTTACAGAAAAAAGCTACGTCGCAAATAAAAAAAGATAGGGATTAAACCTGGCCGCCTATTTTTAAAGAAAAAGAAAGCTACCTATGCTACAAATAAAAAAAAAGAAAGAAACGAAATAGAATTTGATTATGGAGTTTGGACTATTAGTTACCTCTGTTGACTCAGTCTAGTACCTAGTCTAAATATTTGTCTAGTTACCAAGTAGTCACTCTGAAAAATCTCTTAGGATTTCGCTTATAGCATACCAGTATAGTATTTATTTCCTTTACTGCTTAAGTAAAATGTCACAAAGGAAGATACAAATAAATTGATTACCTAAAGCATATTCGAAAGATTGGTTAGCGAATAAAAATGCAAATGGCATTATGACAATTCTATTAAAAACCGCTTATGTGTTCTGCCAGCTGCATGCGTTCGTCATAAGAATACGTTAATGTAACGGACCAGTAGTATTGATTTCCTTAGCTAAGAATAATTTGCAATCGAACATAATTCATTATTTATTCTTAGACAATATCGACCCCTACCTAAGAATACATAGTTAGTTATTTCTTATTTATTTCCAACTTGTTAACTTCTTTCAATAAAAGGTTCGCTGTTTAATAAGTTTAGATTGAAACTCTGCTATTAATTAATTATGTAGGAAATTGTCTATTTATTGCTAAAATTAAATGGTGTTGTTTTCAATTTATTTATTTTTGTGATTTGTATTTTTCATTGCATGAGAAAAAGGGTCGGTTAGAAAATCTTCTATAACAAAAGTACCTGAACTAACTAACAAAACCCTGGAAAATCTACGCATTTTTATTTATTTTACATTTATTACAAATAAAAAGGTTGAATTAATTTAGTTCATTTCCTTTTCTTTGCAGTCCTGTGTAGATGAGTTAGCTAAAATATTTTTTGACTCTCTTAATAAAATATTGCAAGCAAAAATGAGGCGGACTACTGCAAAATTTACCGTTTTTAAAACAAAACATTATCATAAACTGATTTTCAAAAAGTTCAATTTATTCAACCTTTGCATATCGTATGACGTGGGGATCATTTCAATATTTGTAAGTGCTAAAAGTTATAGGTCGTGTTGACACAAATGTGTATTTTACGGTTACGATCCGAGGCGTGTACCTGCATTAATCGATATTGCCAGGACATAAACGTAAAATTGGTGGAATTTGAACATGAATACTCTATTGTATACCAATCTGTATATCAGACACTAGATAGAGTTAGTAACAAACATCGTAAGTACCTAATAATGATAAATAAAAAACCGACTCCAAAAAACCTTCACTAAAAAGTAGAAAAATAATTACTAATTACCTACTTATTTATTAGGACGAATTATTAATATTTATGTAGGTATACCATGATTGATACTTCTGGAGTCGGTGCCAAGATTATGAAACATGTAAAGTTTGCCTGCACCGGTTTCGGTTTTATTTTTTTTTATAAAATTTTACTTATTTCTTGCTTTTTAGTTAACTAATTATTACCTTGATGTTACCACTGAAGGTAGGCAGTACATTGAGACCATATTCTTCATGTCTAGTGTAAAATAATATTCCCTACAAAATACAGGTTACCATATAGGAAACCTAAAAAGACCTTAAACCGTCAGCCCACCTTAAAAACATGAAAGAATACAACTGTTGGTCTATTTGTACTTATAATATTTAAAGAATTATCCTACAACTCCTAAGCATTAAGGAGTTGTACCTACCATGACCAGTTTTTCTTCAAATTCGCATGAGACCACCCTTTTGATAATACCTATTCAACAAAAAAATAATCGTTCAAATTGGTTTATAATCGGCGGAGATATTGCGTATAAAAAAGTTCCCTTGAGGTATTACCTATACGCCGAAAAAAGATTTGTTCAAATCGGTTCATAGGTAATTGGCGAAGTTATCGCGTAACAAACATAGAAAAAAAAACATACGGGTCGAATTGAGAACCTCCTCCTTTTTTTTAAGTCGGTTGAAAAGAAGATGCTTTAAAAATGGGCTCGGTGTAGCAATATAGGTAATAGTTGCTATTGTCCGCCCGTAGAACTAATTCTAATATTCGCCCATAGCAGGATTCAAACCCGCTATCTTAGCTGGCATGTACTATGTATTTTCAGCTGAAATTGGAAGGCACGCACGTACGCACGGAACCTAACGAGTGTGGATTACATTATTTGCAGTTGTTTTGTGTTTATTTAAGTATATGGCATAGCACGTTTTTACCCACTCAACTAAATATAAGAATGCAACGCGTAACTTTGAAAGATATTTTTAAATATCATTATAAGGGTCACAAGGTGTTAACACCCACGCGCGTTTAAAAAGGATGACTCATGTACGTGGGCGGGATAGAAATTAAAATTAGATAACGCAAAGCACAGACACAGCGTTTTCTTTAAATCTGGAAGGACAAAGGCAATTTCTTTAATTATCCTTTATTCATAAAATTGTATAAAGCCTATAAAGGCTTAAATAAATCTGGAACATGTCCAATGACAAAGAGGACTGCTGAATGCTAATAGGTACGTGTTACTCCTAAGGCCCAATATTCGTTCCTTTCAGTGCACCTCCTGATGATTAAGGATTTAGAGAAGCCAGCTTTCTGACTCGGAACTTTACGGATTTAATCAGAAGTTCAAAGAAACCACAATTGACTTATTTGCGTTTGCAAAGCGGGAGACAGACACTTCCGTAGATGTTATCAGTCAGTACTCCGACACCAGACCAATCCGCTAAAGGTCAGACTCTAGAGGAAAACTCGACATGGACTGCGTCATCCATATTCACCGTTCCACATGTCATACAAGTATCCTGGAAGTGATTGATGCTGTTAGTATGGACGTGAGTTACCGTCGGATGACCTTAATCGGCCGTAATTGACATTCTCACTTCGTAGAGTTCAATGATAACCGTAAGGTCACTAACACCTCCCGTCACAACTGCGTCTAACACTTGACAGCTCCAACAAAATTGCTCGATAAAATATAATATTAAAGTAAACAACCTCTTAACTCTTTGATATCCTTCCTAAGGCTGATTCTGACATTGTTTTAATTACAAAAAATAATTAAGTTAGCATTTGCCCACGTTACTGCGTTAATTGCGTTTAAATAGCGTTTAACGTTATTTTGTGCGAACCCTTCGTCAATGACCCTTGGCTTCTTGAAAAGAAATCAGCGTAACGTAAAAGACGTAAAATTTTTGTCGCCTTCCATTCATCGTCCATGGCAAAAATAAATTAAATCGTGAATAAGGAAGCTTAATTCCTGTAGTATTTTTTTAGGTTCTCAATTTTAAATTAAATGTAATTTGGTCAAAGTAAAGACAAAATGGCTGGTTTTTTCGCGAAACTGATTTGCACTCTGTGAACTACTGGCTCAAGGAAAATTCTTTAACTTCCGTGATACAAAGTCAACAGTCATTTCTGGGTTGTTTAAATACGCAAGTTTTCCGGTGGCGATTTGAGATAAAAATTAACCTTTCCTAGATGTACAAATACGAAATGTTTATGCCGCAAACAGATTGTGTTGAATTTTAATGTAGAGATAGCTCATTATTTAATCTTTGTGTCTCTTTACCAGGGACAAATGCAGGATTTGGCTTGCACTCCCAATTCAAAAAGGTTATTTTTAGTACCTATTGTATGTTCCCTTACAACTTTAGGTAGGTATTGTTTTGTAAAACTTACAGCTAAAGTTTTAATAAGTTGCACTAACTGTAATTAAAGGGAACTAGTGTTTTTAAGGCAACTTTTTAAAATTATTTTTATCATTTATTTTGTTTATTATTGCATTTATGTGCTAAAATTCAGTTGCAAAAAGTGAGTGAACAAAATTAGGTTAGGTATTTTATTTTATTATACCTACTCTTGACTAACAAACAAAAGATTTACAAACGTATTATGGTTTTCACGACATGGGGCAGCAGAGGTTTGTAAGCAAGTTAAATTAGTATCGTCCACAGGCTAGAGAGTCCCATAGGACATGTGGAGCTGTCCTACATACAAGTTACGGTTGCCTTGGCGTAGTTGTAACATCTCAGTGTGAATTTATTTTACTACTGTAGAGGCTTTTCAATCCGTAACTATTGTATGAAAAGTATAATCATCATAAATTACGTTTACGTTTCACACATTACGGAGTAAGTTATTCTTCGTTATCAATAGTTTTCTCATTCAAAAAAATGTTAGATGAAATCTACTGTGAACTAATTATAGGTTCCTATCGCAAACAAATGCTAGGGTAATCACATTTTGACAGCTAAGGTCTTAAGCAAAGGACTAGATTTTAATTACTTATTTTCTTTGATCAAAATCAAATTAGAACGAATTGATGAAAATGTCAATTTAAAAAAAAAAGGTTATATAAAAAGCATTTAGTCCATTGTAAAATATTCTTAAAGATGCTTAGAGTGAAATGAATAGCATTTAAACAATAAACCATCCTGTGTTTTGCCAAAGTAATTGTATAAAGTTTCAAACTTTTTGTGACCTTTGAAGTGCTTTATGAGAATCCTTATTCTTTTGTATTTTTATTTTTTGAATTGTTAAGTCCCTAGTCCCTACATATGAATGAAAGTGATTTGCCTTCTAGAATCGGTTCTTTTGTTTCAGTTATAGGCTTTCCTTAATGTTCCCACTTCGGAAAATTGTTCTTTGCCAAAATATAAATCAATTTTGCTCTTATGACACGTGTTGTCGCTTTTTTTTAAATTTATTTAATTCAACAGGGGAGACCGAGGTGAATAGGGATGTTTCCTGGGTAAAAAAGCAAGCGTTTTAATTAGTCCGTCAGTTAGCTTATCAAAAACTACTCGACACCTATTTTTCACTTTTTAAAACTAATGAGAATGTAAAGAGATAAAGCGTACCAAAGTTCTAAAGGAAAGGCCCGTGACGTCAGTGAGTGCGTAAAAGTGCAGCACTTTGTGACGTCGCGCGGAACTTCAACGCACTATAACTTCGTAATTATTTGTTTGATTGACAATTAAAAATATACGCGTGCAATAGTTTTTTATACTAAAATTGACGTACTAAAAAATTTTTTTAGGAAACTAGCCTATTGTAACAGAGGAGAGTTGTGACACTGTCGATTTTTTTAAACCTCTTAACTACCAATGAACTCGCAAAAGCGTGCATTTGTTAGCTCGAAACTCAAAACTAGAAAAAACCGCACTGTTACGAGCTTCATAATAGCACATAGTAGTCAATTAGTTCAAAAAAATCGACAATGTCACAACTCTCCTTTGTTACAACTCACTTCGGTATCCCTTACAAGATTAGTATTCGTTATTTTACGGTAAATACTCTCGAAAAAAAAATCAGCTATTGACATCGGGTGTGCTATACTTTTTGGTAAATTCATTTTCAGTCACGTGAGTACTTATTACGAGTGTGCAATGTGTACACGTAAAGTCACATGAGTTTTTCACATCTACACAATTTATGTAGGTATCGTACGATTCTAATGCCCGTTTTCACCATCAATCCCTAATTTTTAAGTGATCTCTATGGTAACACTTAATAGGAATTTTGTTTTCATAGGGGTTACTTAAAAATTAGTAAAAATGTGCATAATTGTTTTGGGAGAAAATGCCACATATGGCATTAGGTTCGACTTTTGTAGAAATATATTTTGAATACTTAAATAATGCCAGAGCGCATATATTAAAATCCTATTATGTACTGTTAACTTACCGGAGGAAGGAGCATGTACAACATTAGGCGGGTCTTGAAACAGGTTGGACCTCTGCTGGGGAGACAGTGAAGCCAGCGCCTCTAAGTTGTCGCGCAGGGAGTCGAAGAAAGAGCCCACGTCGTTGAGAACCCCTGCACAAGACAAGTTTTACTGTTAATAGGTATCTAGAAGAAACGTACTTATATAAGATTAGGCTGGGTTGCACCATCTTACTTTAACAAACATCAGGCTCTTAAACTCTATACAAAAAACACCGGTTATGGTTAAAGACACGGTTAAAATAAGGTGGTAAAACTCAGCTTACTAGTTTTTCAAGATATCTAAATGTTTAAGCACTTTTCACACTGGATGCGTCCTGCGGTCTGCCTGCGGTCACGTCAAATTAACGCAGCCCGTCACTTATCAGTTTGTGCTCGCACTGTCATAGATAGCATCAATACAAAATGTATAGAGACCGACAATGTTGTTCTTTGATATGGGCTACGTTCACTTTAACCTGACCGTAGACCGCAACCAATTTGGCTAATCCTTTACTGGCAGATGAAATGTAGGACTAGCTATGAAATTGCCAAGAGTAATTTTAACGTTTTTTTACCTACTTACCTGTGTCACATCTCATAATGTATCAAAGAAAAGGTGAAAATACGAGTGTCACAGAATATGTCATTTGATCACTGATTAATTAATGGGAAAACTTATTACGATGAGAAAAACAAATATTAATCTATGCACGACTAAGTTTTGGCAGTGTGTTGTACAAATTAAATATTATAAAGACAACTTATTAATACAGACATGCAAAGTGCAAATTGCTCTAGTTACAAAAGCTATAGATAGATAAACGCGGTATCTAACTCGTGAATGGCATGTAGAGATTTCAAAATCAAAATCAAAATTATCTTTATTTGTTTAGACTAATTAAATTAGTTCTTGCAAATCGTCAAATGCTCTTAAGGAGCCTATACATGTCTCATTCTTTTTTTGCCCTACCAGCGCTTCGAGACAAACATTTGGCAAGTGCTGAGAAGAAGCGCCGCAACAAACTCAGTCACCACTGTCTACCGGTTTAAAAATATAAAAAAGTAGGAAGTTACAAACATTCAGAAGCAAGTTACTTACCACGCGCTCCCGTTGATAGAAGGTGGCCTTTAAGACGCCCATCTAGCACGAGACCGCGTGGCAGTTTTGAATATATTTCTTTAGTGCCGTGCTAATTTCTAGGTTAATTGTTACGTTTTGATACATATATTTTATGTCAGGTATATCTTTCCTTGACCAGTCCCCGAAGGCAGCGCCTGTTCACAGACATGACGTGTGAACCAGCCATCGCTTCACTCGACCATATTGTAGGGAATGTAGCGACCCGCCTCACACGCCACTACCCCAAAGACATTTTAGTGAGCATGACAAGTCCAAGATACCCTTCTGACTAAGTGCCAGATATAAAACTAATTAGTAGACAAGGTATGAAAACTCCAGACAGAAAAGCAAGGCACCATAATATAATAGAAAGAGATGGCAACTAATGTATCTATACAATTAATTAGGTACATTGTGAGAGCCTGAGAGACTTATTTCCAAGGTAATTTATCATTAAGGTAATCATTTGTAGTGTAATAAGCTTTTTTTAGTAAGTGTTCTTTAACTATACTTTTAAATTTATTAATGGGTAGTTTTTTATAGTCTTCAGGAACTTTGTTATAATAGTGAATACTCTGTCCCATAAAAGTACCATATACTTTTTGAAGTCTAAGATTAGGTATAGCTAATTTATTTTTGTTTCTCGTGTTAAAGTTGTGAACGTCGCTATTTTTCAAGTATTTATTTATATTTTGGTGAACAAATATAATACAATTTAAGATGTATTGTAAGGCGGCCGTGAGAATACCAATTTCTTTAAACTTCTCCCTGAGGGATGCTCTTGGTTTCAATTTATAAATGGACCTAATAGCTCTTTTTTGTAGGATGAATATAGTTTCAAAATCAGCTGCCTTTCCCCATAGCAAGATTCCATATGATAGCAGGCTATGAAAGTAACTAAAGTAAACTAAGCGAGCTGTTGGAATATCAGTTAGAGATCTTATTTTCTTAATTGCAAAAGCAGCTGAGCTAAGCCTACTTGCTAGAGCTGTTATATGGGGTCCCCACTGAAGTTTAGAGTCCAGTGTAAGTCATTTGAAATCAAAGTTACTTGTCCGACAAAGTGCACCACTCTAGCCTAGATTCTGAGACAATGCATTCACAACTACAAGTTAGTTGTGCCTTGAAGTAGGCTTCAATGTCCAAGGTTTTAATTTAAACTTCGTTGTACTGGTAAACTTTGGAATATTGTACCTATAACGCGCACGTCACTATTTCGCTGAAAAAAAGGGCTGTTCCTGAAATACTTTAACTAAAAATATTTACTATCTAAAGACGTCACGGAACTTCGTAACTTAGTTGGGCCCACTTTACCCAATGGTTAACTATAATCTTTTTAAAACTTATGAACGTTATTAGCCTGCTACTTACGAGTAGTTATATTTAGGATTTCTGTTACATAAATGAATGAATTTAAAGAGGATGTAACACATTAATATCCCAAAGTGATTGTTTCATATTTTTCTTAAATTCCGTTTATCACAGAACATTAAATATTTGTCGGGTTCGGAATATTGATTGATATGTCGAGCATCGTCAACAGCGTGGGCATAAAAATGGCATTCGATAAATTCGTATTAGCCGCTTTGGTGGTCACCTCATCCTTTTATCCGCAATTTGATCATTTTGTGCAAATTTCACGGGCCATTTTAACTCGATGAAGGACCGTTGTAACAATATTATGAATTAACTAACAAAATTATACTTGCATATTATAAATGGATTATAAATATGTCACTTTACATTTATCTAAAATGATGACACTTTGGAAAAGTTTTTGTTGCCATTAATGCAATTTACTAAGTAGAGCAACGTGAGGGACGAACGGTTGCTTGATATGTTATGTGCTTTTAAAAATACACAGACCTAAGTAAAAGATAAATAAAAATGGTATCATTTTAAAGATAATATTATAAACTTTAAATTAATACTACAGGGTGTTAGGTACATGGGTATATGAGCCGACTCTAGACCATGTTAACATGGGCATATAAATGGTTTAGTGAAGTCAGAAATTTGATATTATCAATTCATTTTTTTTTATTTTCATACAAAATAAATTTTATAAAATCCGATTTGTATGAAAATCAAAATAATTAAAATGAAGATATTAATTTTCTGACTTCACCATACCATATATGACCATGTTAACATGGGTTAGTGTCGGCTCATATACCCATTTACCTAACACCCTGTATAGATACTAAGTCATTCAGTTCTTAAGATCGCTCGGAACAAAAAACAAGGGGATTCCATACTTTGGCTCGTAAGTATAGTAGGTACATCATTATACCACATTGTTTCATAATGTGTCGTCCGTATGTAATACGAGTAAATTACCTTGCCTACTGAAAGTCAAACTTTTTCTGACGAAAGTTTTTCAGTGCAAATGTATGAAGTAAATTTAATTTTAATCTGACACGTTTTTGTACTAACAACATAACAGTAAAATGAATGTTGTGCATGAAGAATTATACGTTTTAGTGAATATTTTGTGCTAAAGTGTTAAATATTATAATGAGACAGCATGCTTTTTGAAATAAAATATATTAATAAGTATAATAATTAACACAAGTATGTACTAAAAATAGCACGTACTTTACAAGTTGATTTTCGTTTGACAAATTAAGGCTTTTAATAAATTAAAATTGTTGTTACTTAACTGTTTGAAGATCATTAAGATCTTCACATAAATGTAATGAAAACAAAATTGGCGGCTTGATAACGGATCAGGGAAAATTATACACACAATGCCTCCCTATATTGCAATTAAAATGTAATGGAACGTATGTAATGGCAGCAAAGTTAATTGATTGAAATTAATTTTACTAGTGCTATAATGACAGTAAAACGTTTTATAATTATAACCTACTAGCTGACCCGGCGAACTTCGTACCGCCTTAGCGTAGAGATTTTCTTAATATTTTTTTCCGTAAGAACCATCCTTGGACTTCCACAAACATTAAAAAAAAAGAATTATCGAAATCGGTTCAGCCGTTCACACGTGATGCCGTGACAACGCGAAACGGGTTTCATTTATATATATATAGATTTTACCTTAATACCAACATCGATATACTGCATGAAAGAGGTGCGTACAGTCGTGCTTTGAAGGCCTGCTCGACTGGGAAGCTAACTTGAGATTTTTATTAGATCATTCCTAGTAAAGGGCTACTTTAAAATAGAAGCAGTTATGTAAACAGTCATGTAAGCGAATATTGCAAACTTTATTAACAATTGAGCTCGTGTAATCATGTTGTTATTGCGAAATAATGTCGGATAATCTTCAATGTTGAAATGTTGTAATTAATGGAAATCCGCCGACTCTATTATTTGTCATGACAAATACGAAGATTCGAAGGATCACGGCTGTCACAAATTCGCAAGTGAGAGAATTCCCTTAACGAATTTAAGGAAGGAAACCGAGAAAGAGTTCTTGAGTTAAGAGCAAACATAGCTAAGTGCCTTTATTGGGTGTAGATACCTACTTGGATGCTTTGTCCGACTTTCTAACTAAGATGAAAGATTTGATCGAAGGAATTCAATAAGTGTCTAGACGCTAACTTTAGGTGGAGAAAATTGGGTTGTTGACATCAATGATCATTAATCCCATTAATGCTATAAAAAAACATTTTGCCCTGAAAATTGGTTTAGTTTTTAATTGACTGTAAAATTACACTTTACACAGTCAAATCAGTGCACGGCCTAATGAAGTGATAAGCCCTTTTGCAGTGCAAAATTTTAGATTTTAGAGAGCGTGTCTTGATAGCTCACTAAAAGTATATTAAGATCGGCGCCACTTTTTGCGCCTGAAGCGCTGCTTAAAACACTCAAGTTAGCTTCACCAGCCGGTGGTATCATCACGGGTGCATGTGAACGACAGAGACGAGTGGAATGTGTGTCCGGCGTTGCTTACCGACGCCGACATACGGCGTGACGGCCTTACCGAGCGCCGGCGTCGGCTGCCGTCTCCGCCGGCCCGAGTTCAGAGCTGTCGCCACCGCCGACCGCTTCTCCGAGTTCAACCTGCAACAAACTGGTGCTAAAGACAGCGCTGTATCTAGCTCTTTGTACCTGGTGCAAGTTTCTGTAAATACACCATTGTATGCAGTCACTCAAGTCTTTTCTGCGCCATCCTGCGATCTGCCCTGTGCCTACACTGCTATTAGTAACGCCCAAGATTCATATACTTACTTATTATGTTAAAACAAAGATAGCATAGTTCAACGGGGTATGGAGATTCGCAGATGGCTAGTTCGATCTCAGTCGACCGCTGGAGTATAAATGCTTACTTGGAGGGGCAACTGGCATATTAATTTGTTTTCAATAAAAAGGATTGAAAGGAGCCAAAGTAAAGAAGATTCATATCCATATTGCAACGAACACAGATGTTGTTCCGGTCCATGCTTTTAATAGATACCTACTAGGTTAGCTACGCGGGATTTTTCAGAGTTGAATGTTATAATGGGGTATCTTTGTGTACTTACCTCCATTAGGAAATTATTTTTGCGTTATTGTGGCCACCATATCTTTACCTTTGCTACACCTTTTTAAGGATTATCTCTAAGAATAACTCATAGAGTAATAATTTATACCGATGCCAAAATCGAGCAATAAAGATTTTTTGTGCCTATTTTGGAAATAATTTATATCACAGGTCTTTAACGACAGGAATCACCAAACATACATATTTCTTTGGTGATTTTTCTAGAACGAACCTTAAATCATCGTCCACATAGTTGGAGTTGTCTTCATCGCTATCCATGGCATGCGGCTGGCTATCCAGATTGATGTGCGGGTGTATGCGAGGGTCGTAGCCATTGGCCAGCTCAGACTCAATGTGGGGCGGTCTATCCCAGCGGTTGTGTGGGCCCAGCCCCATCCATGGCTTGTCTGCTAAGAGCCTGAGGAGGTCCAGGCTCTGCCCTTTATAGTCACGGCTTTGGGCCTCGGCAGTTGAGGAACCTGTGGGCAAACGAACTCAATAGAAAAGATAAAACTTTTCAGTAGTTTTCACGTCAGAGCTCTCGTAAGGTAGTAAAAGAAGGTAATAAATTAATATCCTGTACTTAAAAGCCCACTCTATAGAAAGAGATCATTAGGTCCAATTAGGTAGGTAATTTGCATAGTGTACCTAGGAGAGATATTTAAAGTTCTTCCTATAGATTTCAACGAGCTAGAATCAAACTACGATCAATTTATTGAAAGAGATTAGTTGAAAAGACACCAGGAAACATTTTTAAAATCACTGTAGTTACTGCTGGTGTCAGTTACATACGAGTCCATTTTCATTCCGTAACAGCGCTATAGATTAGGCGAAACATAAAGTATTTTACCAAACACTGTAAATAAACCAAAGCCTAATGCAGATTTAATTGTTTTAAAACGTTGTAGTGCTCCCTCGATGAACTTTGGTATGTCACCGCGTAATTTCGTGGAAATCATGTGGCAATTGCTGCCATTGTCATGCTGTTAGTTAATTTGGACAACGGACATGTGCTCTTCAGTTGATTAGACCCGTCCTTGATGAGTTACAATAAAACTCGTCGTGACAAAATATACTCTATCTTATTAATGATGTTAAGGTGGAACTATATTTAATTTAGTTTTGCACATGGCAACAACACAATTTTGTAGGTTCAGGATGATTTCTTGAGCTATTGAGATAAATTGAGTGAAATGAAATTAAATATAGAAATCACTAGATTTGACTCTCCATTTCATCCGCGTAGAATTCCACGAAAAGTAAATTAAGCATTAAAATTAAGATTTTAGTAGGTGTTGCGTGGAGGAGCACCTTTCGTGGACGTCACTTTAAACAACGATTCATCTTAATATGACTACAGTCACCCTAATCACGAATAATTTCCGTGAAGTATATTTTGGCTACAAGCTTTGATTAAGCACTTATTAAGATAGTAGTAGACTTTATCTAGCACAAAAATTTTATTACTGTATTCTTTATGTTGGGCAGTCGTAAAGTAGATATCGTAGGCTAAGCATAAAGGCAACAGGTACGCAGACAGGGACGCAAGTTATGACTCGCCGTTAAGGTGCATTATTGTTACGAGGCCTGGGATCGTTACGAGTGCCCAGAGAACTCCAGGCCTTTCCAAGGGTGTAATCCCATAATATGCCTCAATATCTAATTTTCATCTAGTCAAGTTATGGAAGGTAATCACATCATAAGCTCTACGCCGCACTAGGGTACCGAAGACCATACGATGTTTTATGCCAGTCGGGTTTTTTGTTTCTATTTCATATGTATAAAATATGATTGGCCGTGGCCTAGAGTCTCTACATTCTTACGAGTAACATACAGATTCAGAGCTTGTACCTACTATTATCTTGCTTGTATTATTATACTTGCTTTTATTAAACTGGACTGTTTTACCTTGTTCAGTGGAACATAAAACATGAATTTAGGTATTAGGTCATCTTTACTTCGGGAAGTGTCCCGGAGTTTATTGAAATATGGATAAAGTCAGTTATGAGTAAATGCAATGTAGAGCTACTGTGTTATCTTGGCAAGAAGCTTTTTACCAAATACTAGCGGCCGCCCGCAACTTCGTACGCGTGGATCCCGTTTTATCCCCTTCATCTATCTTACGCGGTTTAATTTTTTTCATACAAAGTTTTTTTCCCGCTAACTCCCGCATCCGTAGGAATTTTGCAATATCCTGTTGTAACTAAGCTTTAAGTTTACTAAGGTACCTGCATGCCAAATTTCAAGCGTCTAACTTAAGCAGTTTAGATTTTTCATACAAAAGGATTTTCCCACTAATTCCCGTTTCCGTGGGAATTCCTAAGTATACTATAACCTGCCCAGGAGTATGAAGAATAATAGTACCAAGTTTCGTTAAAATCCGTCGAGTAGTTTTTGTTTCTATAAGGAACATACAGACAGACAGAGAGACAGACAAAAATGTTACTGATTGCATTTTTGGCATCATAATCACCCCCTGATAGTTATTTTGAAAATATATTTCATGTACAGAATTGACCTCTCTACAAATCTATATATATAAAAATGAAACCCGTTTCGCGTTGTCACGGCATCACGTGTGAACGGCTGAACCGATTTCGATAATTCTTTTTTTTAAATGTTTGTGGAAGTCCAAGGATGGTTCTTACGGAAAAAAATATTAAGAAAATCTCTACGCTAAGGCGGTACGAAGTTCGCCGGGTCAGCTAGTTTATTATAAGTATAGATTTGGCACTCGCTGTGACATTGTTGCTTTTTTCCAGTGAATTGAAGCGGAAAACGTTTTCACACCACGAAAATAAAATAAATTGAAGTTTTAAACTCTCAACTACAAACAATAGATTCGCTTGAACGTGTAGAACGGTTTTTCCCAACAAATTGATTACGTATACTCCATGTCGCACAAGTCTATAACAGACGAGTATTTTTTATTTTGCATTCTGTCTTAGGTATTTCATTTGAATTATCTACATGTAAAACAGTCGTGTATTCCGCAAGCAACTTTATTGATTTCCAAATCCGACTTATCAAGTGACGTACGGTATCTTACGGTCCCCTCTCGTACTATGACTTTGATTGTAATTATTGTTAAAAGTTATCAATCAAATTTCGACACGCGCTACAGTTCATCCCCAATATAGTGACGGTGCGACTGTACTATATACAATGCGACAAACGATCCATCGGTCTTCAAAATCGTTTTATTGCCGATGGTACCTACACGTGTCTGTCTACAAGATTAACGAGCGTGCATTGTATGATGCAACAGGCCACTATTTGTTTAGCAGCACAGCGGGCGCCTCCGCTGGTGGTAAGCATGTTTACGATGATGCTACTATTTAGGTTAGCGCGAAAGCCACGCAATATTTTGATTAAACGCACTATATTGCCATTATAGTTTAATTAGAGAAGCACTAACCACCAAACTAAATATGGTCGGTTTTGTTATAATATCGCGTGGTTTATGAGCGCGTCTTATAAGGCGATATCAGTTCCGTGTTTACAAAATCTTGCTAGGTTCCTATTTTTTGTTTTGTAATCATAAAATAATGACACGCCTTTCCTTGTAATCATAAAGTGAATAATGCCATCATCCTGTCATATCTCATATCCCATCTCTCTTTGTTTATAATCTGGATTGGTTTGGAGTTTATTTCGAGTATAATATCTTAAACATGTCAGATATCCAATTTCTCAATTTGCAGAATATCCTTTCATCTACGTAGAACCTGTCGTGTTTACAAAAGCGATGTCTTAATAAAGGTAATCCAATTTATTCGATACATAATGTAATGTTCTTTATATGTCTATCATTGCTACGCTACGATATTAAGGTAAAAAAGCAAAAAATAAAGTTTAATTTCAACATGCCTTTGAATGTAGATTAGTGTTCCACTTTGTGGAGAATTTTTATACATTTTTGTAAAAAGAGAAGTATACATTTTCCTGGAATATCTTTTGTTCGTTGTTTTTTGTGGGAGTTTTGACACGTAGTTAGGAAAAGCGGATTTTTTTCTTAATTCGTATGACCTCTTGGGTCGACGATCTCCATTTACTCGGATAAGCATTCTAAATATAATTTTCTAGAAAATACAGTAGGGTAATATAAAACTAATTTATTTCTCTCGAGTTAGGTCTCAGTGAATAACTCAATGAATTCTTTGAAAGAAACCAGCGTTGGTCAATAATAAAATTCTTTGAAATCAAGAAAAGTTTTTGCTTTGGCACACTTCTTAGTTACATTTCTTTTTATCGGCTATTCTCACGATTAGGCGTTCTCAGCCTAATTACCATATTATTTTTGAAATTTGGCTTTATTGACTTAAACGCATTTAAATATGAAACACATGAAAAGTACGAATTTAACAATCGTTAAGGCGTCAAATTATTCCAAGCGGTTTTCGCGTAAATGAGACCCAAAAATTTTATGGTCACGGTAATTAGATAAGGCTAATACTTAATGTAACGGTAATTAGAAAAAATATGTAAAATAGCAAGAAAACAATATCTTGCATTGATAAATTTGTATATAAATATATAGCGTCATAAAAACGCTGTAAGTACACTTAATAACCCTTTGAAAAAAGGAAAACACTCATTTCTATTATTTATTGTATTAAGATATTTTCAGTATACTGCGATAATTGAGGCTATAACAGGAACACTTAGTTTCGGCCAGAAGGGGCTACGTGTCACATTTCATCAGAATCTTAATCATCATTTATTTGATTTCAATGTGGTACAAACGATTTAACGTACAGATAATGGATCAGGAGATCTCACAAATTTGATTTTTCGGATTTTTCCTCTTTCTAATCTATCTGCGATCAGCCATCACCCATTATCAGATTAAATTGAATTTGTAATAATGACAGTTCCAGCTCAGCATATCCCATGATTTGTCACCTCGATTCTTTTACAATAAGTTTTCAGATTGATGCTATTCGCTTTCTCCTGAGCCTAAATGCAGAATTCTTAGAATTTAGAAGGGATGCAGTGCAGCAAATAGATTGCATGAAGGTCTAGTCTTTGGTTGTAAGCTTTACAGGATTTTCCACACCCTCTTTGACGTTTGGTATCACTTCACTGGACTTTGTAAACCAAGGTGCACAGCTCAAGATTTTTAAAACTTTATTTTTTTCATACAACGGTGATTATAAATATACGGTAATTAGTACATGGAAATTATAAAACGATAGTTTTTCTTCAAAATTTCCAAAATCTTCAGCGTATGCAAATACTGTCTTACTACAACGTATGAAGGCTAAAGTACTGAATCTATTTAAATTAACAACGTGGATCTACCTTCAAAAATCGAGTATAAAAATAAGGACATGGTAAATAGAAAAATTGAAAACCAAAGATATGGTAATTATACTCTTACGCAATTCATCGACGGTACGCCAACGCAATAGACGTCTACTTGCTAACAGGTCTTAGAACTAACTAAGGGCTCGCGCCGCGCGCGTAAATGATGTGT